TACATCAATAAATGCACTGCTCTGTCGTCTCCTCTGAGGCTGGGACTCTAAACAGTGTTCTGTGCTCGTCTGTGCAGCCAAAGACAGTTAGCATGTTTTGCTCAAACTTTCATCATGGCATTAGAACTGGTACACCGTTGTCGCTTGCGAAATCAAAATGATGGCGCCGTGGGTGTAAATTTACAGATTAAGGGGCGGTGATATTATAATGAGATCCCTTTGCCACGTCACCAAGTGAGAGAAATCAGACGCGCTGGTTTTCTCAGACGCTTGCAGAAAAAGGCTTCCCAAAACAAAGTTACTGGGTTCATCTTTTTCAGGTTTTCTTGGTTGGTAGATGCACCGGAGACCTGATTATAGCACTTACAACCTGGAAAAGTCAGATTTTCATGATATGTCACCTTTAAAGTAGCCCAATTCCACAAGAAAACCGTGGACCTGGCAACACTGATTGATGTAAAAGAGGAAAGCAGGCGTTTGGACCAAAGCACTGTGAGGCGAGGGAGGCGAGACTAAACTTAAAAAGCATTTTTGCCCTGTTTGCGTTTGTGTTGGTTTACTACTTACAAAGTTTTTTAAAGTATAAAACATTGTTATTTACGATACACAGCGTGGTTTTTAATCATATTTTTAGAGGGGACAGTCTTAATTGTCATACAGTCCGAGATTGATGATGACTGAGATCCCAGAGTGTGACGAGGCTTACAGCTGGGAGCATGTTCATACAGTCTGACAAGCAGAAATCATGAAGTACTGTTATCATTCATACAGTGTGCATCCGGCTGTACAGTGCAGAGCTGCTGCTTTTTACTTTGCAAACTATTAGTGAGTGTCACCATTTACTCTCCCGTGTGCTCAGCAGCAGCATCATATCAGTGAATGAAACTGATGAGATAAGGTCGTCTCAAAGAGTCGAAGCATCATTAGACGGTGGTGCAGGACGCAAACACCACACTATGAGCTGCTGCTGTTATCGGGAAAGACATATGGGAGAATAAATAAAAGCTCATATTTGGTGGAACTCTTTATTTAACCTGTAGTTAAAACATCATGATTTACTTTTATACATGTTGTACTGTCTCTCAGAAAAATGGAGGTCCATCTGCCCAAGTTCAAGATGGAGCAGTCGTACGACTTGCATGAAATCCTGCCACATCTGGGCATCAGCAGCGTTTTCCTCCATTCAGCCAACCTGACGGGTTTGAGCAAAGACGCGCATCTGAGAGTCTCACAGGTGACTGCAGCCTCACACACACGGATTCTAACACGCTTTATCACAGCCGCTGACGGCTCTGTGTGTGTGTGTGTGTGTGTGTCTGCGTGTGTGTGTGAGAGAGAGAGTGTGTGTGCATGTGTGTGTGTGTGTGTGAGGAACTCTTTATTTAACCTCTAGTTAAAACATCATGATTTACTTTTATACATGTTGTACTGTCTCTCAGAAAAATGGAGGTCCATCTGCCCAAGTTCAAGATGGAGCAGTCGTACAACTTGCATGAAATCCTGCCACATCTGGGCATCAGCAGCGTTTTCCTCCATTCAGCCAACCTGACGGGTTTGAGCAAAGACGCGCATCTGAGAGTCTCACAGGTGACTGCAGCCTCACACACACGGATTCTAACACGCTTTATCACAGCCGCTGACGGCTCTGTGTGTGTGTGTGTGTCTGCGTGTGTGTGTGAGAGAGAGAGTGTGTGTGCATGTGTGTGTGTGTGTGTGTGTGTATGTGTGTGTGTGCATGTGTGTGTGTGTGTGAGTGTGTGCAGGTGCTGCATAAAGCCGTCATCGAGGTGGATGAGAAGGGCACGACTGCAGCCTCCGTCACATCAGTGGGAATCACGGCTTATTCTCTGCCAGCCACCTTCATCATCAACAGGCCCTTCTTCTTCTTTCTGTACCATGAAGCCACTTCTAGCCTGCTGTTCATGGGCAGAGTGATTGACCCCACAAAGAACTGAGCCACTGACTGGAGACACATTGTACCACCACTGAACATCACATTCTAAGAAATAAAGTGTTAAGAATAGTGTTAACAATAAAGAAATAGTTTGCGCTCTGTCTACTTTATTCCCGCTGATGATCACAGGTGAGAAGGTCACACACCTCTACTGAAGTCAGTCAGCATCTCTTTAGTGTTTGAGGGTTAGACCGGGGGTCTCCACACTCGCTCCTGCTCCGGAAGTGTCTAGTATATCTAGTAAGAGCTTGATTTGCTGCTTCAGGAGTGTTTGATTAGGGTTGGAGCTGAACTCTGCAGGATTGAGTTTGGAGACCCCCGGGTTAGACGTTCAGTCCCGCCTGCTGGTACAGAAACCATCCGACAGCGCTGTCTTCAGCAAACTTCAGCACTGCTCCAGAATCACATATCCGCCTGCATAAACCATGCCCTAAAATGTGCATTCTGTCACCGTAAACCAACCTGTCACTGTTAACATACTCATACAGAAGCTGCTATAGCTGCAGGGGGACCAGCTCCATATTAATGTCTATGAGTTTAGAGTGCGATCATTAGAAATGCTGTTGGTTTAATGGTCAGGTGTCTCAATAATCTAGTCCATATAAATTCCCACTGGACTTCCAAGCCATCCCAAGGCAAGGGAGACACATTTACCCCCAAAGATAACTTTTCTTAATGTTGAATTATGAAGTAGATGTTGCTTGTCGCAAAAACTCAGAGCTTCTTTTATTGAGGCTGAAACTTTATAAATGGGTAAGAGATTCATTCAGGAGAACAGAAACTTGTTCTGAACCATGGCCCATGGATTTTAAAATACCTTTGCAACTAAAAACTACATATTTTTAAAAAAAATCCAAGGCTATATAACATTGGCGTTTTTGACTTATATGACTGTTCAAAACCTGAGGGTCAGCCGTTCTAGTTAGTGAGGGGATTCATGTAAACGCAGATATCTGACAGCAGTCGTGTCTTGACTGAATGTTAACAGGTGGGACAAAAAACTGGATCTGGTCAAAACATGGGTTCTGTGCATTAAGCCTTGCAGCATCAATGCAGCCGCTGGTCTCTTGGTACTGTCGCCATGTTTGTAGTTCTTTTTATTTGTGTTTGTAGTTCTGAACAGAATTCTTCAAAGGGGTAACATCAGCCATTAGTGTGTGCATCTGGTGCCTTCAAGTCATGCTGAAACCCTGTATACATGTGAACACCACCACTAAGTCGTAATTACAAACGGGGAACCCGGAGACGGCTGACATGCTCTTTTCAACTCACTATGCTTCTCTTTTTGTGATCTCACATTTAGGATGGGTGGTGTGCGTGGGACGCAGGCTAAAGTGGCCCAGATCCCAAATGTGTTGCTCATGTGACTCAGATCTTTTTCTTTTTAACATTGTGAACAGCACAAACCACGTGTAGTTTCATCTTGATCTCATCCTCCATGTGTGGTCCTGAATCAGACACAGGTGCAGTGTTTAGCAGTGAGACCTCAGGCTCGAGTCTAGACGGTCTGTAGTGCGACTAAAACAAGAATTCAGACTTACCAAAGTGAGATTGTGGTTTTAGGAACACAGCCCACTTGAATAGCTAAATAACAGGAAAATAAAACACTTTAAAGCATGCTCTCATATAGTGGTGTCCAGGGCTGGTCACTATCTCGTGCTCAGCTTTATTTCGCAGTAGCAGCTCCTGAAGCAGCCGGTAGATGGCGCTGTTCTCGCGCTTCAGAGGAGCCCCACGCGACTGCGATTACATATTCAGCTATTTCAGTAAGATTGCAGACACAGGATAACGTTTATACTTTAGGTTGAAGACGGTGGATGTAATAGATTTAAAAGATCCGTGCAAATGTCTCCAGTCTGTTACTTTGCTCAGGCTGTGATTACGAAATACGGCGTTATGTTAGATTTAAACAATGCATTTGGAGATACAGTATGCGCCCCCTGTAGTAAACGCAAACATTGCCCTTTATTTTGTTTATTATTATTATTCTTACACTAAAAGTACTATATATTATAATAGAACTGGACAACTTCCGAAATATGAGTGCGTCCACGTGCCACGGACAGACTCTGTGATTGGTGGGTTCTCTCTGACGTCACGGCCATCATGGCCGCCTCCTCGTGCCGAGCACGTGTGTGAGCGGTGCAGTGGAGTCAGACGCAGAAGATGGTGAGTGAGCTTGTGTTTAGCCACGCAGCTAATGCTGTAACATACTCCTGTTGACACGGTCTTTCATCAGAGTGGGGTTGTGTGTAATGCACCAGTCCGTCGCTCTGTTTATGTGCGTGTTGTAGATGTGAGACTATAAACACAATCGTGTCACCGTGTTTTGCTCAGAGTTACAGTAACGTGATATTTTTGGAAGCGCCTTTATGCTGACATGTAGATATCGATGTGCATGAATATGGTGTGCTGTACACCGTGGTGTTACTGTCTACATCTGTGTCTCCAGCAGAAGATGAAGCTGAAGAAGTCTGGGCTGATCTCCTCCAAGAGAGGCGTTGTGGTGAAGGGCCAGTGGAAGCCGGTGAATGTGGACCCCAGCGTGTTCTGTGATGAGGGTCTGGATGGACTGGTGTGCTTCGAGGAGCTGACCGATTACTCCCTGGTGGAGCCGGAGAAGGCCATGACTGCCCAGACCACCGGCAGAGGCAGAAACAAGAGAGAAGCGGAAGAAAAACCTGCTCGGAAGAAGAACAAGAGGCAGAAGAAAAGCAGACCGGAGGAGCCTCAGGACGTTCCTGATGAGATGCTGGAAGCAGAGGATGAGATCCCACCGGACCAGTGTCCTGATGTGACTCCAGAGACGCAGCACAAGACGTCCAAGAAGAAGAAGAAGAAGAAGAAGACGACGACTGATGAGGCAGGAGCGGAGTCTCAGAAGAAGAGCAAGAACTGGAGCAGGCCGGCTCTCGTGGGGTCAGAGGGTCCGAGTGCAGACGTGTCGGCGTGGAAGGACCTGTTCGTACCTGAGCCTGTTTTAAAAGCTCTGAGTGCACTTGGGTTTTCAGCGCCGACTCCGATCCAGGCCCTGGCGCTGCCGCCGGCCGTCAGAGACCGACTGGACATCGTGGGAGCGGCCGAGACCGGTGAGAGGCCACACTAGCTCCTGTGCTGCTCCGTCTCTGACACCCGAGGACTGCTTCCAGAGCTTCTGCTCATTCGGTCTCCACTCAGACGGGGCTGCTTTGGTTCTGGTGGAAGAAATACATAAATGAAGCCAAAATATTGAATGTCACAGATGTATATTACTGAGTGATCCAGTATTTTGTAGATCGGGGGTCACCAAACTGGGTCCTGCAGAGTTCAGCTGCCGCTCTTCTGCAAGGGTCTAGTCTGTCTAGTAAGAGCTCGACTAGCTGCTTCAGGTGTGTGTGTTAGGGTCAAGCTGGGTTTGGAGACCCCTGCTGTAGACAGATTTTTGTAGCTCAGAACGATGACGGCATCAGTGTCTTCACACGGAGGTCGGCAGCTCTGTTAGTAGAAGCTGTTGACTTCAGCTATCTGTGTTGCAACAAGCATTGTGCGTTAATGGTGACCGTCCAAAAATGAGAAGTGTTCATCTTAGTATCCTTTTAGATTCTGGTTCTAATGAATGCTGTTGGTATTTCGATTTTTAATGCATGATATCCTTCAGTTCCAGAGGTTAGGGATTTCAGTAATAAAGTGTACACCTTTTTAGCGTGGGTCACTTTGCATACAGCTGATACTTCTTCATTTGAACAGCAATGTCTGATGAACAAATCATGTTAAAACTAGAAATGTGTCTTGTTAGCATAGAATAAACCAGTCTGGGTGTGAAAATGGTCATTTTGACTCTTCTCTACTAATAGTGGATTACTCCGTAAATATTTATCTGTGGCATTTAATAGATTATCTTTGACTATTTATGTTTGTTTTTATTCAAGAGAGAAAAAAGGGAGTTTTTTGATGCACAATGATTGCAATGTAAGGTGTAAATCTATTATTTTTTAACTAAATGTACTTTTTTTTTTCCAAATTTATTGTTCAAATTATTTATTTCTAATTATTTTAGTAAGTTGTATGTTTAAGTAGTAAATTTCTTTGCAGTAATTATGCATTTGATATTTACTATGGTTTCGTTAAATACTGTGATATTACATAGACTTATTATATCTGCTTTATATCAGCCATCTGTGCTCTCTAAGATACTGGCATCGGCCATCAGAAACTCCACTATTACTAGAACTGATCACACACACGCTCACGCTCTCTCACACACACTTACACGCTCTCACACACACACACACACACACACATACACGCTCTCACACACTTACATGCTCTCACACACACACACACACACATACACGCTCTCACACACTTACATGCTCTCTCACACACTGACACTCTCTCACACACACACACACGTACACTCTCACACACACACTTACACGCTCACACACACACTGACACTCTCACACACACGTACACTCACACACACACACACTTACACGCTCACGCTCTCTCACACACACTTACACGCTCTCACACACACACACACACACACATACACGCTCTCACTCACTTACATGCTCTCACACACACACACACACACATTCACGCTCTCACACACTTACATGCTCTCTCACCCACTGACCCTCTCTCACACCCACACACACGTACACTCTCACACACACACTTACACGCTCACACACACACTGACACTCTCACACACGTACACTCACACACACACACACTTACACGCTCACGCTCTCTCACACACACTGACACTCTCACACACGTACACTCACACACACATACACGCTCACGCTCTCACACACACTGACACTCTCACACACACACTGACACTCTCACACACACGTACACTCACACACACGTACACTCACACACACACACACACTTACACGCTCACGCTCACACACACTGACACTCTCACACACGTACACTCACACACACACACACACACTTACACGCTCACGCTCTCACACACACTGACACTCTCACACACACACACTGACACTCTCACACACACTGACACTCACACACACACACACTGACACTCTCACACACACGTACACTCACACACACGTACACTCTCACACACTTACACGCGCTCTCACACACACACACACTGACACTCTCACACACGTACACTCACACACACACACACACACTTACACGCTCACGCTCTCACACACACTGACACTCTCACACACACACACTGACACTCTCACACACACTGACACTCACACACACACACACTGACACTCTCACACACGTACACTCACACACACACACACACACTTACACGCTCTCACACACACACTTACACGCTCTCACACACACACTTACACGCTCTCACACACACACTTACACGCTCTCACACACACACTTACACGCTCTCACACACACACTTACACGCTCTCACACACACACTTACACGCTCTCACACACACACTTACACGCTCTCACACACACACTTACACGCTCTCACACACACACTTACACGCTCTCACACACACACTTACACGCTCTCACACACACACTTACACGCTCTCACACACACACTTACACGCTCTCACACACACACTTACACGCTCTCACACACACACTTACACGCTCTCACACACACACACTTACACGCTCTCACACACTTACATGCTCTCACACACACACTTACACGCTTACACGCGCTCTCACACGCTTACACGCGCTCTCACACACTTACACGCGCTCTCACACACTTACACGCT